CAACATAATGCACCAAATAATATTAAAAGATTTTTGGTGTACAAGAACCGGAAATTGGTGTTTTACTTCCGTAAAACAATTGATGTAGCAAAAAAGTGTATGAAAATACCAACATTTTTAGAGTTTAAGATTTTATAACTTTTTTATTATGCAATTTTTTGTTAAATATTTGAGTTCATAATTTGCAGCAGATCCTACTTTAAATAATATAATATTATTTGATAGCGTAAAACATTGTTTTGATAGTTTTTTGGACAATAAAGTGAACCCTGTCGTACACCTTTGGAAGGCGGCACTAAATAGTTCATAGCACAGGCCCTGGGGACCTTTTTAATTTTTTAAAAATATCTCATGGGTCGTGTATTAGGGAGCTACAATTATAACCCAGTAATGGTTAAATTGCTTTGTGGGCAAAATTCTTTTGTTCCTGTAACAGGTCCTTTGTGTGTATAGTGCGCACCTTTTTAGGTAAATATTGTCATGTCAAAAAGGGTGCGCACTATAGGCAGTCACTCTTGGGTTATCGTTCTGGAGTTTCAGGTCCGCCATATTGAATTACCTCCCTTCAAATAAGTCCATCAGTACTCTTTACGACACAATACCAACATTCAGAGGTGTACAAATTTAATAGCACGACAACCAGGCTCTCTGGTGTTTGGCTAGCGCCATTAAATGATACCGTACTATAGCTAGTCCAATAGCCGAAGAAATTTGATTATACAAGGCTGAATTAACACAAAACCATTGTCTTAATCATACAACTTGTCTGTATGCAGGCTGCAAGCATTATGAGCAAGACACATGTTTTTATGGATCAAAGTCTTCCAAAAACGATGTATTTGGTCCAGGAAGCCATGCTTTGTTGACCCTGTGTATTGGTTGATACAAGTTTCAGAATGGCAATATGAACGAACTGACATTGACAGAAAGATTTGATATGAAAATAAAATATCAATTTGAACTCGATTTTACCTCTGTAATAACTCATAAACGTATTCTAAAATGTATTCATGATTTGCTACTTCAGTACAGACTATAGATGTAATGGATTTAGTACATGATTAGCTACTTCAGTACAGACTATAGATGTAATGGATTTAGTACATGATTAGCTACTTCAGTACAGACTATAGATGTAATGGATTTAGTACATGATTAGCTACTTCAGTACAGACTATAGATGTAATGGATTTAGTACATGATTAGCTACTTCAGTACAGACTATAGATGTAATGGATTTAGTACATGATTAGCTACTTCAGTACAGACTATAGATGTAATGGATTTAGTACATGATTAGCTACTTCAGTACAGACTATAGATGTAATGGATTTAGTACATGATTAGCTACTTCAGTACAGACTATAGATGTAATGGATTTAGTACATGATTAGCTACTTCAGTACAGACTATAGATGTAATGGATTTAGTACATGATTAGCTACTTCAGTACAGACTATAGATGTAATGGATTTAGTACATGATTAGCTACTTCAGTACAGACTATAGATGTAATGGATTTAGTACATGATTAGCTACTTCAGTACAGACTATAGATGTAATGGATTTAGTACATGATTAGCTACTTCAGTACAGACTATAGATGTAATGGATTTAGTACATGATTAGCTACTTCAGTACAGACTATAGATGTAATGGATTTAGTACATGATTAGCTACTTCAGTACAGACTATAGATGTAATGGATTTAGTACATGATTAGCTACTTCAGTACAGACTATAGATGTAATGGATTTAGTACATGATTAGCTACTTCAGTACAGACTATAGATGTAATGGATTTAGTACATGATTAGCTACTTCAGTACAGACTATAGATGTAATGGATTTAGTACATGATTAGCTACTTCAGTACAGACTATAGATGTAATGGATTTAGTACATGATTAGCTACTTCAGTACAGACTATAGATGTAATGGATTTAGTACATGATTAGCTACTTCAGTACAGACTATAGATGTAATGGATTTAGTACATGATTAGCTACTTCAGTACAGACTATAGATGTAATGGATTTAGTACATGATTAGCTACTTCAGTACAGACTATAGATGTAATGGATTTAGTACATGATTAGCTACTTCAGTACAGACTATAGATGTAATGGATTTAGTACATGATTAGCTACTTCAGTACAGACTATAGATGTAATGGATTTAGTACATGATTAGCTACTTCAGTACAGACTATAGATGTAATGGATTTAGTACATGATTAGCTACTTCAGTACAGACTATAGATGTAATGGATTTAGTACATGATTAGCTACTTCAGTACAGACTATAGATGTAATGGATTTAGTACATGATTAGCTACTTCAGTACAGACTATAGATGTAATGGATTTAGTACATGATTAGCTACTTCAGTACAGACTATAGATGTAATGGATTTAGTACATGATTAGCTACTTCAGTACAGACTATAGATGTAATGGATTTAGTACATGATTAGCTACTTCAGTACAGACTATAGATGTAATGGATTTAGTACATGATTAGCTACTTCAGTACAGACTATAGATGTAATGGATTTAGTACATGATTAGCTACTTCAGTACAGACTATAGATGTAATGGATTTAGTACATGATTAGCTACTTCAGTACAGACTATAGATGTAATGGATTTAGTACATGATTAGCTACTTCAGTACAGACTATAGATGTAATGGATTTAGTACATGATTAGCTACTTCAGTACAGACTATAGATGTAATGGATTTAGTACATGATTAGCTACTTCAGTACAGACTATAGATGTAATGGATTTAGTACATGATTAGCTACTTCAGTACAGACTATAGATGTAATGGATTTAGTACATGATTAGCTACTTCAGTACAGACTATAGATGTAATGGATTTAGTACATGATTAGCTACTTCAGTACAGACTATAGATGTAATGGATTTAGTACATGATTAGCTACTTCAGTACAGACTATAGATGTAATGGATTTAGTACATGATTAGCTACTTCAGTACAGACTATAGATGTAATGGATTTAGTACATGATTAGCTTCTTCAGTACAGACTATAGATGTAATGGATTTAGTACATGATTAGCTACTTCAGTACAGACTATAGATGTAATGGATTTAGTTAGCTTCTTCAGTACAGACTATAGATGTAATGGATTTAAGTACAAGCACCATTTTTTGTTTTACCTTGAAATCTGCAAAATACACAACCGGTTTAAAAAATGAAAGCATGGTGTTCTTTCAGCAACAGAACGATGTTTTGTTTTAAGTTATTCCATCTAGATATCTTGATATTTTGTTATGTTTACATTTACATATCATGAATATGATAATCTAGCTGTACCATTTCTTAGACCGCAGGGGTCAAATCAACCTCATTCAATTAAGAAATGTTTGTTCTTCCTCAATAATGTTTGACCAAATTTTGTACAATCCACTCGGGCAATTAGGGGGTATAAGCGTCTTAAAGCAAAATATTAGATAATTTTCCTCTTTGGGGCCCGGCCTTCCTAGCCCCAGGGGTCGACCCAGCCTCATTTATTTAGGAAATGATTGCCATCCCCCCATGAAGTTTCAAGAGAAAATTTGGTTAAAATTGTCTCTGGTTTTTAGGAGGAGATACGTTTTAGCTAAAGGGACCTTTCAGAGCCCCACACCCCCGGCCTCAGGGGTCCAACCAACCCCATTTATTTAAGAAATGATTCCCCTCCCCTAGTGATGCTTCAGACTATTTTGGTTGAAATCCTCTCTGGCGTTAAGCAAGAGATGCATTTTAAAGCAAATTTAACTGAGTTCCCCTTCAGCCCCCCCCCTGGCCTCAGCGGTCGAACTAACCTCATTTATTTAAGAAATGATTGCCCTCCCTTAGCGATGCTTTAGACTAAATTTGGTTGAAATCCTCTCTGGTGTTTAGGAGGAGATAGGTTTTAAAGAAAAAGTAGACGACGGACGCTGCGCCACGGCATAAGCTCACTATATATATATATGGTCCTTCGAAAAAAAACTGCAAAGTTAAATATGCTTATCAGCCACAAATCCTCAGGGAGCCTCTCATTAAATGGATTGTATAGTGTTTTGTATACTGACCTGTTTCTCGTTCATCTTCTTCATCAAATTTCTCTCTGGCATAACTAGATCCAGGTCAGGAAAAACATGGCTACATCAAAAGTGAAAACTAGTATTGTGAAAATTAGTATTTTATCAAAAGCGAAAACCAGTATATTCATTGTTTCTTCTGTTAAATACCAGTTATTACATTGAGTGGGCCGTATATTTTACATTTTACAACAGTGTGAAGCGCCGGTTTAAAGGTAGGAAAAATACTCATCCCAACATTTCAAACATGTCATCGAGAAACGAAAAATCTATAAAGGTCTACATGACTTATACATGTCACCCCAGCCACGCAAAGGATACTCTCTGAGAAGGTCAAGGTCAGGTCGCGACCAGGAGGAGGCTTCCTCTGACTGGTCTAATTGTGGGTTGAGGTAAGCATCCACAACTGCTGTGCTGGGAAATCCTATCAACATAGTGATAACAAACCTGTCACTATACAAAATCACAGGTGTCTTGGATATGGTAGATCAGCTAAACATTATTTACAAGACATCATTAAATAGTTTCAGAGACACTCCTACCAAAATATTTTGCAAAATATAAATGGGAGCAATAACTAAAACCCTCAATCAGGGTTTGAGATATTTTGAGATATTTTGAGAACAGTCTTTGGGCCTAAACTGGAAAATATCATCAGAAAATCTAGGAATTCTTTTGAAAATGTATAATCTGCTTTGCTTTACCCTTAGTAAAATCCTTAAAAAAAACCCATCAGTTTACCAGTTTTTTCTGAAATAGTCACCTTTGTTAATATCCAGCTTCCCGAGTTTATTCCTGATCTAAGTGTCCTTGTCTTGCTGGTGTCTTACTCTGTCCCACCAGGACCTGAAACAACACCAGGCCACAACACCATGTGTCGAGGAACCTTATGAGCATAATCACTGGGGATGGGTATCACAAACAACACCAGGCCACATCCCCATGTGTTGAAGAACCTTATGACCATAATCACTGGGGATCGGTATCACAAACAACACCAGGCCACACCACCATGTGTTGAAGAACCTTATGACCATAATCACTGGGGAACGGTATCACAAACAACACCAGGCCACATCACCATGTGTCGAGGAACCTTATGACCATAATCACTGGGGAACGGTATCACAAACAACACCAGGCCACATCACCATGTGTTGAAGAACCTTATGACCATAATCACTGGGGATGGGTATCACAAACAACACCAGGCCACATCACCATGTGTCGAGGAACCTTATGACCATAATCACTGGGGATGGGTATCACAAACAACACCAGGCCACATCACCATGTGTCGAGGAACCTTATGACCATAATCACTGGGGATGGGTATCACAAACAACGCCAGGCCACATCACCATGTGTCGAGGAACCTTATGACCATAATCACTAGGGATGGGTATCACAAGCGGTTTTCATTTTGTAATATATTAAATATTGCAATTTATTTTTATATTGTATCCCGAGAAATTAAGAACATTTATAATTATTTTATACACCAGTAGAAAACACGAAAAGTGAGCATCAGGTAATCAATGAAAATTGGAAAATTATGTTGTAAATGTTTGGTAGATAATTACTAGATATCACACCAAGCATGCTGCATTTGGATAAAACTGATTTAATCTTAATGTTATTTCGGTACAATCATGTCATAATTTTGATTAAACCCCCAAACAATTAACTGAAAACGCATGGCAATATATTGCCATTTCAAAATCACATTTCAATCTATTTATTGCTAGAAAAATTTTGCTGGACAAATATTAATTGCCCACCCCTAATAATCACATCACTAAACTATTGAGAATTCTTGCTTATAAAAATGGGCTGGTGCATGAAAAGTTTACAGAAGTAATATATGAGATCAAGGGGCCTATTTTGTGACCACTACCATGTACAATTATTTTCTCATGATTGAAGGCAACAGATTCCAGTAAAACCAATTTTTGAATACTATTCAAATTTAAAGTAATATTTGCTTTACTTGTCAACAAGTGCCGGGATTCCTTCCCCTGGAAACTCGGCCATGATCTCCAGAGCAGGGACCAACCCTCTGTACCCCAAGGTGTAGTCACTGCCACACAGCAGGTCGATGTTGATCACCTTCCCCTGGAAACTTGGCCATGATCTCCAGAGCAGACACAGGACCAACCCTCTGTACCCCCAAGGTGTAGTCACTGCCACACAGCAGGCCGATGTTGATCACCTTCGCCTGGAAACTCGGCCATGATCCCAGAGCAGACACAGGACCGACCCTCTGTACCCCCAAGGTGTAGTCACTGCCACACAGCAGGGCGATCATTTTCTCTCGGCACAAACCTAGAACAAACACACTTTGGATAAGAATAAGTCTATGATGCATAATTCTGGAGATACTCTTTATATGTAACTGGACTGAGAAAATTCTACATGCATCAGTCTGTTTAATAAATTTTCTTTATTTCTTTCAATAATAACCAATAACTCAATCATCCCTAAAGACACATTTGAACTCTTCCAATTCAAAGGTTAGAATAGTTCATTATTAAAATTCAGGAGTGAACGAGTTAAATATATTGTAGACAATTTATGATGAACACACTTAATATAGCCACCTTACCTTAATAATTACAATAGTTCGTGTTTCATCAACATGAATGTTTTATTTTACATAAAAGTTACAGTTTCTGTTATGTTTGACTACACATCAAATGTTGAAAGTGAATACAAACAAAAACATGAAAAGCAAATGAAAGTAGAAATGATGAGCAACAACACCACTGAATCCGGTTCAAAAAGTAATGTTAGATTTACATCCTACGTGCTGACATGTTTCAGCCAAAGGGAAGCCGTCTTCAGAGCACAGTAAAAACATGCTCAATATAATTAATCTACAGCATGTCAATTGGTGTTATTTATTTTCAATTTCAAATTGGGGCTAGGGGAATCTTTTCAAGTAAAGTTGCATTCAAATTTTAGAGATTTGTTATAATACAAGGAGGAATAAGATAGAAATTTTAAGAAAGACCACACTGTTAAAATCAAATCAGCCATTCTAGACTAGTAGTGTTTTAATTGGGAAGTTGACGGCTGTCAGAGCACAAGATCACAAGGCCCTTTGAGCAATGTCAGCTAAACATCTCAACAGACTTTACCTAATTGATATCTATATTGGTTCTCTGGAAAAATTGTAGACACAGGTCCAGCCAAATAACCAGATATCGCTGTCATTGGTGACGGATCCTTCTGTTTGATTGGTGAGGTTCATAAACGCACACTGAGCCTCAGCCTCCATCGGACTGACGATGTAGGGAATGCCAAACATCCGCAACAGCTCCTGAACAATATTCAAAATGTGAACAAGTTTTGATATATTGATTTTGCAATATTGGATTCAAACAGTGACAATTACATACATATATTTCTTTCCTTTAGAGAGGTTAAGTCCTAAATCCTTGTTTTAACTTGCAAAAAAAACAAGAGGCCCATGGGCCTTAACGGTCACCTGATATATTTATACAGAGTTGATTTTGCTTTTAACATGTACAGAAATATTATTCAAAGTGACAAAAAACAATAAAACCACCTTATTCAATATCTAGCATACAGATTTAAGACTAAAAAGTATTTGAAACTAGCACCTCTGATTCTAAACAAGGAAAATGAAGAAATTTTAGCACACTGACTCCTTTGGGCCCCACCCTACAGCCCTTGGGGGTAGGGCTGGCTCAAAATTTTCAAAGTATCAAACTGTC